GGGGGCTGCTTCTCTTCCGCTGGAGGGGGGCTCTTGCCCCTTTTGGGGACAGTTATCCCCATTTTGGGGACAGTGTCCTGTTTCGGAGACGGTTATCTCTGGTTTGGGGACGATGGACCCATTTTGGGGATGGTTATCCCTGGTTTGGGGACGATGGACCCATTTTGGGGACAGTTATCCCCATTTCGGGGCGATTATCCCCATTTTGGGGACAGTTATCCCCGTTTTGGGGATGGTGATTCTCATCTGAGGACTTTTATCCCCATTTTGGGGATGGTTTTCCCTATTTTGGGGGCAGTGGATCCATTTTGAGGTTGGCCCTGCCCGTTTGGGCGATGGCAGCTCCTCTCTTGAGGGCAGCTTTCCCCATTTTGGGGGGTGTCTGTGGCCCTGCCCTCCTCAGCCCCCCCATTTGTCACCCTGTGTGTCCCCCCCAGGAGCTGGTGGTGCAGAAGGGCTGGCGCCTGCCCGAGTACACGGTGACGCAGGAGTCGGGGCCGGCGCACCGCAAGGAGTTCACCATGACCTGCCGCGTGGAGCGCTTCGTGGAGATCGGTACGGGGCCGGGGCGCCCCCCGGGTGCACGGGGAGGGAGACCACAGGGTGCCAGGCTCACCTCGGTGTCCCTTGTCCCCTCCCCGCAGGCAGCGGCACCTCCAAGAAGCTGGCGAAGCGCAACGCGGCCGCCAAGATGCTGGTGCGGATCCACAACGTCCCCATGGAGCCGCGGGAGGGCAGCGAGGCAGAGGAGGAGGAGGACCAGTTCTCCATGGTACCAGCCAGCGAGGGGTTAAGGGGGGACATGGGCACCCTGAGGCCACCCCAAGGGGTTAAGGGGGGATGTGGGCACCCCAAGGCCACCCTGAGGTGTTAATGGGGGGGTGACATGGGTGCCCTGAGGTCACCCCAGGGGATTAGCAGGAGACTCGGGCACCCTGAGGTCACCCAGAGCGGTTAAGGGGGGACATGGGCACCCTGAGGCCACCCCAAGGGATTAAGGGGGGATGGGGGCACCCCAAGGCCACCTTAAGGTGTCAGTGGGGGTGACATGGGTGCCCTGAGGTCACCCAGAGGGGTTAACGGGGGGCACATGGGCACCCTGAGGCCACCCCAAGGGATTAAGGGGGGATGTGGGCACCCCAAGGCCACCTTGAGGTGTCAATGGGGGTGACATGGGTGCCCTGAGGTCACCTTGAGGGGTTAACGGGGGGCACATGGGCACCCTGAGGTCACCCAAAGGGGTTAAGGGGGGACATGGGCACCCTGAGGTGTTAATGGGGGACACACATGGGCACTCCGAAATCACCCTGAGGGGTAATGGGGGGCACTTCTGTACCCCCTGTATCAGGGCTTATGGATCCCAAATGATTCAAGCTGGGGGGGAGAAGGGGCAGGGGGCCACCCAAGGGTGACGGGGGGGGGGACCCTTTGGATTTGGGGTCCGTGGGTGGAT